TAATAGCTCTGACCCTGAACACACAGATATCTATGGGATTAAAGGCGTGTGCCACCACCGCCACACTCTTGCTATGGCTCTAATAGCTCTGACTCCCAGACAACTTTATTTATTAACATACAATCAAAATAATAATTCAGTACAATTAGATTATCACCACAGAAGCCCCATGGACTCACCCTATGGAACCGTAAGACCCAGTAATTGCCTTTCTATTAGTTGCCGTGGCCATGGTGTCTCTTCCCAGCAATAGAAAAGTAACGAAGACACCGTCCTTCACACATGAGGAGCCACCAGACTGAGATGGAGCCACAGGACAGTGAGATAAAGTACTTAGAGTCACTTGCAGGCCTGGTCCAGGGAAATCTCCCCAAAACCTCTCTTTCCATGAGAGCCCCATGCTCAAGTCCACAAAGCCTACAAGGAAAGAGCCCTGGGTCTCCACGTCACTGGTGGAGGAGGGCTCCCCACCAGCACTGTGGGAACTAGGAAAAAAATCTTCTGTTGCTGAACCACTGAGTTTGTGGACGGGGGTGCAGACTGTCAGTAGAAGTGCGCTGAAGTCCCCAGGTTCAAGTCCCCATGTTGCAGAAAAGTGTGGTTTTCTTCAGAACACAGTAAGTACCTATCTCTGCTATAAGAGTAAAGGGAGGTCTTACAGAAGAAGCCCTTAAAAAGTAAGGAGAAATTCTGTAGGAATGGGGACCGTGTACTTTTCAGGTTGAAGAAATATGTACAATGACGGAATGAGAATCTCTTGAAGAAACTGGATAAACTTAAGGTTGTTACAGTCTACTGAGAGGGTAATAAGAAGTGAACCTGGAAAGATGAGCTACGGATAAGCTCAAAAATTTTTTTCTTCTAAGGCTTGCTAAGGATATTAGACTAGTGTATGTATGGAATGTACCTTAATAAATATATACAATTTGAGTCAAAAGGATATTGATAAAAAAATCAGGAGAGACAATTAATCCCACCACTGAATTCTCTTAAGTCCAATATGACAGAGCATTAATGCAGAAGAGAAATTTCTTTCCCACCATGTGAGAAATAAAAATCAGAGAGGTTCATGATAGCAAAACTTTTTCAGAATTCTCATGACTACTACATTACATACTAGAATTCAAATCACTATACTACAAAGCTGATTTTCAACATTAGAAACTGTGGTATCCAGAAGTTATTCCTTTTCAAATGCCTACTTCGGTAATTCTCACGTGCATTATTTTGTTGGGATTTGTCGGAGCCTGACGATGAGTTGATTGGGTAGCTGGGTGAGTCGAGAGGTCTGCCAGTCAATGCCGGACAGTGCCTGAGTTTATTTCACAGCCAGCTTATATACAGATTTGAAGGACAGAGCAGAACAATGCACATCACAGGCATTCAACCACTATCAATCCTGTCCTCGTGTCAAGGAGCAGGCGGTTTCATTTTCTATCACGATGTACCTCTGGCTGGCATTAGCAGCCTGAACTTAGATAGTATGTTCTTTCCCATAGGCTAATCAGGACTTTCTCACGGTCCTGGAGCAAACAAGCTTGAACTCTATTGACCCAGAACAGGCTTCAGATTCAAACTGGGGAACTGAGTCAGCTGTGGGCTCCCACAGTGGAGTCACACAGAAAGTTAAGCACTGGCTGGGGAACTGAGTCAGCGTGGGCTCCCACAGTGGAGTCACACAGAGTCACGCACTGGCATTGATCTAGCACCTTTGCAGATGGTTGGGCATCTGCTCTGAGCGAGCACTGCCTGCACTTTAAATAACTACCCCCACCTGACGGCCTTTTGGAACAGGAACTGCCACGTTGGACTGGAGTTTCAGCACTTCTGGTCCACCAAATTCAAACACTCGAACAGCCCTCATCAACTTCTGTCCGGTTGCCATGGTGATCTAGACACCAAGAAAAAATTAATGTATTATCATATCATATCTAGGCTATCACTGTTTTTTCTCCCCCACAAGAGAGGACAGATCAAACAAATTTTGAAACAACAATTTAAACCAGGAGCTTGCCAATGATCTCTTCTCATGTCTAAGGACTTTTCATCCTGAAAATCCTTTAGCCACAAAGCAAAATACTCCATACTACTACATCCCCTAGGGATTTAGTGCCTTCTACAAGGGACTCAACATGCAAATGAAAACATCTGGACCAACATAGCAGGATACCATATCTGATGAGTTGTTGTTTGTTTGTTTGTTTGTTTGTATAAGCTTGGGGTGTGGTGTCTTAAAAATTTTATGAACAAACATTAGGTTTAGGGATCTTTAGTCAGATTATGCTGTAAACATATGGAGAAAAACAATGAATAAACATTTACGCCTAGCTTTAGCAAGTTAGCCTTTTAAAGCATTATAAAGATAATTGAGGCCTAATATACTCATTCTCCAAATGACCTCTGGGCCACACTTTTAAGAATTGGTTAGTACCATAAATTCAACGCTAGCAATGGTCCAATGTGTTTATATGCATTCAGGAGCAATATATGCAATTATTTTGTACATTTACTAACTTTATATAGATTGAATTGTACTGAATTGTGTTTTCTTTAACCTTTTAGCATTCCGTTTTTGAAATATATCAGGTTATGGAAACATTAGACTTCCTGTAGATTTTTATTACATATATGTGTGTGTGTGTGTGTGTGTGTGTGTGTGTGTGTGTGTGTGTGTGTGTGTGTGTAAAAGAAGGTGTGGGCACATGGCAGGGCACAAGTGTGTAGGTCAGAGAACAGCCAAGAGTCAGTTCTCTCCTTCCACCATGTGGGTCCCAGGGATCAAAATGAGGTGGTTAGGGTTGGTGGCAAGTGCCTTTACCCACTGAATCATCTCTTACAGCCCCTCTGTAGTTCATTGTCACAAAAGGAAAAAGAAAACTTAAACCTAAAAAGAAAACAAAAAACAAAAAAAACAAAACAAAACAAAAAAAAAAAAACGATGCAGTTGTTTATACATTACAAAGTTCCAGGTAACCTTTCGGCCCTCCTGTTATTATTAAAAGAAAAGCCCGGTTAAAAATAAACTCTAAGAAAAGCAAAGCTAAGTAGCAAATAAAACTGTGTAACTGGAAAGACCAAACTGGTAGAGATGTAATAAACAAATTTTAACTAAATCTCCATAATTTTAATTGTGGCTTTTAATAATTTCTTTAAATAAATCAAATCAAACAGTTAGATTCTGCTACCACCTAGGAGGTTTTTGTTAACTTGAAGAACAATCACATCACACAAACACCAGGAATAAGAGAGATGCAAAACTCAGAACCTGAGAAAATCAAATGCAGAGTTTTCTATTCAGCCCAGACAAGAAGTCAAGCAAAACACTAACACCAAGTATGCATTGTCCACTGTTCACTCAACATACACGTTTTTCCGATATTAAACGTGGGTGTGGCAAACTCTCTCCCTGGAGGGATGTAAACAAACACCCACCTTGTTAGAGGATCTCAGCAACAGTCACGCCTGACTCGGGCTCCAGCACATCTGCAGTGCTGGCTTACAGAGAGTGAGTGAGGGTCACTTCCAAGGCTGCAGATGACTCCAACCAACCACACCACTGGGAGGTCTCACCCATCATGGATGGATAGGTGGAAACCCTCTCCAGTCAAGCTTCCATCTGCCAAATGTCCTCTGGGACAATGAGGCCAAGCACAGTTAGGGCAGAATTGCATACAGTTGGGCTGCAGGTATAGAAGGGGAGTGGCTGGGATATCAAACAAGAGTCCAGTGACCTCACCTTTCTATAAAGGAACATCAACAGTCATCAATCATGACCTTGAGGAATCTCTTGTAAGTAAATAGTCACAGCTTTCTGATCCAGGTCATGTTGTTTTGCTTAAAGGATGACACTTTCCAATAGAGGTACCGTGCTAAACCCAGAAAATGTAAATAAAGGCTGCTATGAGCTGTACACACACACACACACACACACACACACACACACACACACGCACGCACGCACGCACGCACGCACGCACGCACGCGCACGCACACACACACACACACACACCTCACTGTTTCATTTGTGTAACTGTTTTCTTTCACTGCTAGGCTGTGGCTGGAACCCGGGCCCTATGCCTGCTAAGCATCTACAACTGGGCTCCACCTCCTGATTTTGACTTTTTTGAGATAGAATCTAGCTATGTGGACCAGGCTGGTCTTGAACATCCTATGTAGCCCACACTGGCCTCTAACTCTCCATCATACAGCCTCTGCATCTTGAATGGTTTTAGACATGTACTACCTCACTCTGCTTTTTCCATTTTCAGTTTCTATTTCCAACACATCTGTCTTTCCAATAGACATCATTATTAGCCTGAAAAGACTATGGTAATAATAAAATCAAAATTGTTCTAAACCAGGGTCTGTATCTTGTGGCTAATTCACTCATTTTCTTACATTTTGAGGGAGGGAAGAAAAGAGGGAGGAAGGAGGAAGAAGAAGGGAGGCAGAGACTTCTCACTCTGTCCTGGGCCTCCTGGGAGATAGGCCCTCCATAAGTCCCCTTCCACTTGGTCCTAATGCTTCAGGAGTGGCCACCACCCTTCTGTTTCTCTTGATCTTATTCCCCACTGAACCTCTGCAGTGGACTGATTGAGTTCCAGACTGAACTCACTGCCTTTGAACTCAACCACACTATCATCATTCACTTTGGAACACTGGTGCTGTTATCAAAGAGAATCACAAAGAATAAAACAGCATGTTATACTAATAGCAACTCTGAAAAATCCTTACGTCCTCATAATACTCAGCTCTTCCTAAAAGTGTGTGTTTTTGAATCTCCACTCACTTAATTATCTTCACAAAAATGAAAAGTTACTAAAACTGATACCTTATGTAGAATTAAAAACAAAGCTCCCGTTTTACGAATAAATGAGGTTAGGACTAGGGTTAGCAGCATGGAGCATTGTCCTCTTGCTGAGGGCTTCATTTGGATCTCCAGCACCAACGTGGGGGCTCAGACTCACAACCAACTCTAACTCCAGTCTCAGAGGTCCTACATCCTCTTCTGTCCTCTGAGGGCACTGGGTATGGACATGGTGTGGACATGCCTATATACACACAACACATAGATCTTAAAAAGAAGAACAGAATAAAATAAATTAAGAATTTCTGAAGATATTTTTAAGTGAAGGCTAAGAAAGAGACCAGTAGTTATAAGATGTACTGCCACTGTTCTAGAAAGGCTCATCAGAGCATGTGGCTTATTATTAACTTGGAAATGCAAATAAATGATCAAAATTAAAGTGGCCAGTAAAATTCTCAAGGCTGTGTGGTGTTGTCATGGTCTTGCTCTCACAGATATTACCAAGCTCCAGTGTGAGAGGGTGGGAAGACTTACTGCTGTGTGCTGCATTCCCAGAGCAGGAGCCAGCAGGGAGTCGTGGTGGCTTTGGGGGCTCCCCCGAAGCTGGCAAGCAGTCCACACCTGACCTTTGCACCTTTCAATCATGAACATGTCTTTTCTGCTCATAGGGCTGAGGCCCTCTAGAAACTGTAAACGTGCAAGGTGCAGTTAACCAAAGTATTAGGTTTTTTTCCTCTCTGTCCCTCTGTCTGTGTCTCGGTCTCTCTTCTTTCTTTTGAGAACTATGGTAGGTTGGTGCCACGGAGTCTAAAAGAAGTTAACAACGCCAGCTGCGTGCAGACTGGAGGTCAGAGGTCAGAGCACAGAAAGTCCTCTGCCTGGAGCTGCGGAGTTGAGAACCCAGAGGTCGGCAGGAATCACCCCCGCCTGAAACACCGGCCCTCTGCTGTGCACATCTCAGAGTCCAGATCCTGGTGGTGGTGGTGGTGGTGGTGGTGGTGGTGGTGGTGGT